CCATTTTAACCCTTTTTCCCCCATTTTTCCCCATTTTTCCCCCATTTTAACCCTTTTTTCCCCATTTTAACCCTTTTTTCCCCATTTTTACCCTTTTTTCCCCATTTTAACCCTTTTTTCCCCATTTTAACCCTTTTTTTCCCCATTTTATCCCTTTTTTTCCCCATTTTAACCCTTTTTTTCCCCATTTTAACCCTTTTTTTCCCCATTTTAACCCCTTTTTTCCCCCATTTTTCCCCATTTTAACCCTTTTTTTCCCCTTTTTTTCCCCATTTTTAACCCTTTTTTCCCCTATTTTAACCCTTTTTTCCCCTATTTTAACCCTTTTTTCCCCCATTTTTAACCCTTTTTTCCCCATTTTAACCCTTTTTTCCCCCATTTTAACCCTTTTTTCCCCTATTTTAACCCTTTTTTCCCCCATTTCAACCCTTTTTTTCCTTTTCCATTTGCCCTTCCTTTCCCATTTTAACCTCTTTTTTTCCCCTTTTCCTTTTTTTTTTCCCTTTTTCCCATTTTTTCCCTTTTTTTTCCCCATTTTAACCCTTTTTTCCCCCATTTTTAACCCTTTTTCCCCCATTTTAACTGTTTTTTCCCCCTTTTTTCCCCATTTTAACCCTTTTTCCCCCCATTTTACCCCTTTTTTTCCCCATTTTTACCCTTTTTTCCCCATTTTTCCCCCATTTTAACCCTTTTTTTCCCCTTTTTTTCCCCATTTTTTCCCTTTTTTCCCCATTTTTTCCCCTTTTTTCCCCATTTTTTCCCCCATTTTAACTGTTTTTTCCCCTTTTTTTCCCATTTTTGCCCATTTTTCCCCCGTTTTGCAGCACCTACCGGGCGTCCAACCTGAAGCCCCCCGGGGAGCAGACGGTGCCGGCGTCCAACCTGCAGAACTCGTTCCGCATCATCAAGGAGGTGCAGAAGCGCTACAAGACCCGCGAGGCCGAGGAGAAGGAGAAGGAGGTGGGGATTTGGGGGGGTTTCAAGGGATTTTGGGGTGTTTTGGAATTTTGGGGGGTTTTTTTTGGTTGGTTTTTTTTTCCTTTTTTTTTTTTTCCTTTTTTTGGTTTTTTTCTGGGTTTTCTGGGGTTTTGGGGGTTTTGGGTTTTGGGGTTTTTGGTGGGTTTTTGTTTTTCTGGGTTTTTGGGGTTTTTGGGGTTTTTGGTTTTTTTCTGGGTTTTGGGGTTTTCTTTTTATTATTTTTCTCTGGTTTTTGGGGGTTTTGGGTTTTGGGGGTTTTTAGTTTTGTTTTTTTCTGGGTTTTTTGAGGTTTCTTTGGGGTTTTGAGGTTTTTCTGGTTTTTTTTTTTTTCTGGGTTTTTCTGTTTTTTTTTTTATTTTATTTTTTTTATTAAGTTTTTGGTTTGGTTTGGTTTGGTATTGTGGTTTTTTGTGATTTTTTTTTTTTCTTTTTTTTGGTTTGTTTTTGTGTTTGTTTTTTTCTGGTTTTTTGCTTTGGTTTTGTGGGCTTTTTTGTGGGCTTTGGGGGTGGTTTTGGGGAGAAGGAGAAGGAGGTGCCTTTTTGGGGGGATTTGGGGTGGTTTTGGGGGTGGTTTTGGGGAAAAGGAGAAGGAGGTGCCTTTTGGGAGGGGATTTGGGGGCATTTTGGGGGGATTTTGGGCTCTCTTTGCCCATTTTTGGGCTCTCTGCTCATTTTTGGGCGCTCCCTGTGATTTTTGGGCTCTCTTTGCCCATTTTTGAGCTCTCTTTGTGGTTTTTGGGGTCTCTTTACCCATTTTTGGGGCCTCTCTCCTCATTTTTGGGCTCTCTCTGTGGTTTTTGGGCTCCCTCTGCCCATTTTTGGGCTCTCTTTACCCATTTTTGGGGTCTCTCTCCTCATTTTTGGGCTCTCCCAGCCCCTTTTTAGGGCCTCTCTCCTCACTTTTGGCTCTCTTTACCCATTTTTGGGCTCTCCCAGTCCATTTTTAAACTCTTTTTACCCATTTTTGTGGTTTTTTACCCATTTTGTGCTCTGTTTCCAGGGGATCGTCAAGCAGGACTCTCTGGTGATCAACCTGAACCGCAGCAACCCCAAACTGAAGGACCTTTACATCCGGCCCAACATCGCCCAGAAGAGGATGCAGGGGGCCCTCGAGGCTCATGTCAATGGTGAGCCCCAAATTTGGGGTGAAATCAGGGGATTTTGGGTCATTTTGGGGGTTTGGGGTCAATTCAAGGGGTTTTGGGGTCATTTGGGGGGATTTGGGGGGATTTGGGGTCAGTTCAGGGGGTTTGGGGTCCCCTGGAAGAGGATGCAGGGGGCCCTCGAGGCTCATGTCAACGGTGAGCCCAAAATTTGGGGTGAAATCAGGGGATTTTGGGAAAATTCGGGGCGTTTTGGGTCATTTGGGGGTCATTTGGGGGGATTTGGGGTCAGTTCAGGGGGGTTTGGGGTCAGTTCAGGGGGTTTGGGGTCCCCTGGAAGAGGATGCAGGGGGCCCTCGAGGCTCATGTCAACGGTATGCCCAAAATTTGGGGTGAAATCAGGGGATTTTGGGAAAATTCGGGGCGTTTTGGGTCATTTTGGGAGTTTTGGGGCCATTTGGGGGGGATTTGGGGGGATTTGGGGTCAGTTCAGGGGGTTTGGGGTCCCCTGGAAGAGGATGCAGGGGGCCCTCGAGGCACACGTCAATGGTGAGCCCCAAATTTGGGGTGAAATCAGGGGATTTTGGGAAAATTCGGGGAAAATTTGGGGGTTTTTGGGTCATTTCCAGGGATTTGGGGTCAATTCTGGGGGATTTGGGGTCAGTTCAGGGGGTTTGGGGTCCCCTGGAAGAGGATGCAGGGGGCCCTCGAGGCACATGTCAATGGTGAGCCCAGATTTGGGGTGAAATCCGGGGATTTTGGGAAAATTTGGGGCATTTTGGGTCATTTCCGGGGATTTGGGGTCATTTGGGGGGGATTTGGGGGGATTTGGGGTCAGTTCAGGGGGATTTGGGGTCAGTTCAGGGGGATTTGGGGTCCCCTGGAAGAGGATGCAGGGGGCCCTTGAGGCTCATGTCAACGGTATTTGGGGTGAAATCAGGGGATTTTGGGTCATTTTGGGTGAATTCCGGGGATTTGGGGTGAATTCAGGGGGATTTGGGGTCAATTCTGGGGGATTTGGGGTCAGTTCAGGGGGTTTGGGGTCAGTTCAGGGGGTTTGGGGTCCCCTGGAAGAGGATGCAGGGGGCCCTCGAGGCTCATGTCAACGGTATTTGGGGTGAAATCTGGGGATTTTGGGAAAATTTGGGGGTTTGGGGTCATTTCTGGGGGATTTGGGGGGATTTGGGGTGAATTCAGGGGGATTTGGGGTCAATTCAAGGGGTTTTGGGGTGAATTGGAGGGGATTTGGGGTCAGTTCAGGGGGTTTGGGGTCCCCTGGAAGAGGATGCAGGGGGCCCTCGAGGCTCATGTCAACGGTGAGCCCCAAATTTGGGGTGAAATCAGGGGATTTTGGGAAAATTTGGGGAAAATTTGGGGGTTTTTGGGTCATTTCCGGGGATTTGGGGTCAATTCTGGGGGATTTGGGGTCAGTTCAGGGGGTTTGGGGTCCCCTGGAAGAGGATGCAGGGGGCCCTCGAGGCTCATGTCAATGGTGAGCCCAGATTTGGGGTGAAATCAGGGGATTTTGGGTCATTTTGGGGGTTTGGGGTGAATTCTGGGGGATTTGGGGTCATTTGGGGTCAGTTCAGGGGGTTTGGGGTCCCCTGGAAGAGGATGCAGGGGGCCCTCGAGGCACATGTCAACGGTGAGCCCAAAATTTGGGGTGAAATCCGGGGATTTTGGGAAAATTTGGGGAAAATTTGGGGGTTTTGGGTCATTTCCGGGATTTGGGGTCAGTTCAGGGGATTTGGGGTCAGTTCAGGGGGTTTGGGGTCCCCTGGAAGAGGATGCAGGGGGCCCTCGAGGCTCATGTCAACGGTATTTGGGGTGAAATCAGGGGATTTTGGGAAAATTCAGGGAAAATTCGGGGCATTTTGGGTCATTTCTGGGGGTTTGGGGTCATTTGGGGGGGATTTGGGGTCAGTTCAGGGGGTTTGGGGTCCCCTGGAAGAGGATGCAGGGGGCCCTCGAGGCACATGTCAAGGGTATTTGGGGTGAAATCAGGGGATTTTGGGAAAATTCGGGGCATTTTGGGTGAATTCCGGGGATTTGGGGTGAATTCTGGGGGATTTGGGGTCAGTTTGGGGGGATTTGGGGTCAGTTCAGGGTGGTTTGGGGTCAGTTCAAGGGGATTTGGGGTCAGTTCAGGGGGTTTGGGGTCCCCTGGAAGAGAATGTAGGGGCCCTCGAGGCCTATGTCAATGGTGAGCCCAAAATTTGGGGTGAAATCCGGGGATTTTGGGAAAATTCGGGGCATTTTGGGGCATTTTGGGAGTTTTGGGGTCAATTCAAGGGGTTTTGGGGTCATTTGGGGTCAGTTCAGAGGGATTTGGGGTCAGTTCAGGGGGTTTGGGGTCCCCTGGAAGAGGATGCAGGGGGCCCTCGAGGCTCATGTCAATGGTGAGCCCAAAATTTGGGGTGAAATCCGGGGATTTTGGGAAAATTCGGGGGATTTTGGGTCATTTCAGGGGGATTTGGGGGGATTTGGGGTCAGTTCAGGTGGATTTGGGGTCATTTGGGGGGGATTTGGGTCGATTAGGGGATTTGGGCAAACTCAGGGTTTGGGGTTCTTGGAGGGGTTTTGAGGGTTTTTTGGGTTTTGGAGGTTTTTGGGGTCATTCTCCTGTTTTTTGTGGGTTTTTGGAGGATTTTTGGGGGTTTTTTGGGTAATTTCCCCGTTTTTTGGGTTAATTTTCCTGGTTTTTGGGGTAATTTTCCTGTTTTTTGGGGTAATTTTCCTGTTTTTTGGGGTAATTTTCCTTGTTTTTGGGTAATTTTCCCGTTTTCTGGGGTTTTTTGGGGTAATTTTCCCATTTTTTGGGTTTTTTTGGGGTAATTTTCCCGTTTTTTGGGTTAATTTCCCCGTTTTTTGGTGTTTTCCCCCCCCCAGGGTTCCGTTTCACGTCGGTGCGGGGGGACAAGGTGGACATCCTGTACAACAACATCAAACACGCCGTGTTCCAGCCCTGTGACGGCGAGATGATCATCGTGCTGCACTTCCACCTCAAGGTTTGGGGCAAAAAACAGCGATTTTGGGAAAAAAAACGGGGATTTTGGGCAAAAAAACGGGGATTTTGGGAAAAAAAACTGATTTGGGGCAAAAAACGGGGATTTTGGGACAAAAAAAACCCTCCTGGGTTTGGGGTCAAACACTGGGGTGGGGAGATGATCATCGTGCTGCACTTCCACCTCAAGGTTTGGGGCAAAAAACGGCGATTTTGGGCAAAAAAACCAGAAATTTTGGGAAAAAAAACTGATTTGGGGCGAAAAATGGGGATTTTGGGGGCAAAAAACCCTCCTGGGTTTGGGGTCAAACCCTGATGATCATCGTGCTGCACTTCCACCTCAAGGTTTGGGGCAAAAACCAGAGATTTTGGGAAAAAAACGGGGATTTTGGGTGAAAAAAGGGGTTTGGGGCAAAAAAGGGAGTTTTGGGGGGAAAAAAAATCCTCCTGGGTTTGGGGTCAAACATTGGGGTTTGGGGCAAAGCACAGGGATTTGGGGGGTGAAATCCGTGGATTTTGGGCTGAAATCCCTGGATTTTTTGAGGTGAAATCCCTGCATTTTTGGGGGTGAAATCCTTGGATTTTTGGGGTGAAATCCCTGGATTTTTGGGACTGAAATCCCTGCATTTTGGGGCTGAAATCTGTGGATTTTTGGGGCTGAACTCCCTGGATTTTTGGGTGTAAAGGTGGTGTTTTTGGGTGCCCCCCAGAACGCCATCATGTGGATTTTGGGTGTGAAATTTGGGGGATTTTTGGGGCTGAAATCCCTGCATTTTTGGGGCTGAAATCCCTGGATTTTTGGGGTGAAGTCTGTGGATTTTTGGGGCTGAACTCCCTGGATTTTTGGGTGTAATTGGGGCGTTTTTGGGTGCCCCCCAGAACGCCATCACGTGGATTTTGGGGATGAAATCCCTGGGTGAAATTTGGGGCTGAAATCCCTGGATTTTTGGGGTGAAGTCTGTGGATTTTTGGGGCTGAACTCCCTGGATTTTTGGGTGTAATTGGGGCGTTTTAGGTGTCCCCAGAGCATCATCATGTTCAGGCCAAGAAGCGCCACACGGACGTGCAGTTCTACACCGAGGTGGGCGAGATCACCACGGACCTGGGCAAGCACCAGCACATGCACGACAGGGACGACCTCTACGCCGAGCAGGTGGGGTAAAAAACCGGGAAAATGGGAAAAAACGGGGAAAAAAATCGAAAAAACGGGAAAAAAAAAAAAAAAAACGGTGAAAAACGGTCAAAAAATGGCCAAAAATGGGGGAAAAGGGGCCCTGGAGCTGGGCAAGCACCAGCACATGCACGACAGGGACGACCTCTACGCTGAGCAGGTGGGGTAAAAAACCGGGAAAATGGGAAAAAACGGGAAAAAAACCGAAAAAACGGTGAAAAGCGAGGAAAAATGGGTAAAACACGTAAAAATGGGGGAAAAGGGGCCCTGGAGCTGGGCAAGCACCAGCACAGGCACCACAGGGACGACCTCTACGCAGAGCAGGTGGAGTGAAAAACCGGGAAAATGGGAAAAGCGGAAAAAATGAAAACGGAAAAAGAAAAAACGGTGAAAAACGGTCAAAATGGCCAAAACGGCCAAAAATGGGGAAAAGGGGCCCTGGAGCTGGGCAAGCACCAGCACAGGCACGACAGGGACGACCTCTACGCTGAGCAGGTGGGGTGAAAATGGGGTGAAAAACTGAGAAAATGGGAAAAAAATGAAAAAACGGGGAAAAACGGGCTAAAAATGGGGAAAAACGGCCAAAAAATGGCCAAAAATGGGGGAAAAGGGGCCCTGGAGCTGGGCAAGCACCAGCACATGCACGACAGGGACGACCTCTACGCCGAGCAGGTGGGGCAAAAAACCGGGAAAATGGGAAAAAACGGGAAAAAAATGGAAAAAACGGTCAAAAAATGACCAAAAACGGCCAAAAACGGCCAAAAATGGGGGAAAAGGGGCCCTGGAGCTGGGCAAGCACCAGCACATGCACGACAGGGACAACCTCTACGCTGAGCAGGTGAGTGAAAAATGGGGTGAAAAACCGGGAAAATGGGAAAAAACGGGATAAAAAACCGAAAAAACGGGGAAAAAATGGGGAAAATGGGGGAGAAGGGGCAAAAAAATGGGGAAAAAATGGCAGAAAACAGGAGGAAATGTGCATTTTGGGTTCATTTCTGCCCATTTTGGGCTGATTTCTGCCCATTTTGGGTCATTTTTGCCTGTTTTGGGCTGATTTTTACCTGTTTTGGGCTCATTTCTGCCCGTTTTGGGTTGAATTCTGCCCGTTTTGGGCTGATTTGTGCCTGTTTGGGGCTGATTTCATCCATTTTTGGGCTGATTTCTGCCCATTTCGGGCTGATTTCTGCCTGTTTTGGGTTCATTTCTGCCCATTTTGAGCTGATTTTGCCCGTTTTGGGCTACTTTATTCCATTTTTGGGCTGATTTCTGCCCGTTCTGTGTCATTTTTGCCCGTTTTGGGCTGATTTCTGCCCATTTTGGGCTGATTTCATCCATTTTTGGGCTGATTTCATCCGGTTTTGGGCTCATTTGTGCCCGTTTTGTGTTGATTTATTCCATTTTTGGGTTCATTTCTGCCCATTTTGGGTCATTTCTGCCCGTTTTTGGCTCATTTGTGCCCATTTTGGGCTGAATTCTTCCCGTTTTGGGCTGACTTTTGTCCGTTTCGGGTTCATTTCTGCCTATTTTGAGCTGATTTATTCCATTTTTGGGTTGATTTGTGCCCATTTTGGGTTAATTTCTGCCCATTTTGGGCTGATTTCTGCCCGTTTGGGGCTGATTTTTGCCTGTTTTTTACCCGTTTTGGCTCATTTGTGCTGGTTTTGGCTCATTTCTGCCCGTTTTTGGCTCATTTTTTCCCCTCAGATGGAGCGGGAGATGCGGCACAAGCTCAAAACGGCCTTCAAGAACTTCATCGAGAAGGTCGAGGCTCTCACCAAGGAGGAGCTCGAGTTCGAGGTGCCCTTCCGGGAGCTGGGGTACGTCTGGAAATTGGGGCAAATCTGGGCATTTTTGGGGTTTTTTTGGATTTTTAAAGGGATTTTTTAAAGGAATTTTTGGGGTTTTTTTTTGGGGATTTTTGAGGGAGTTTTGGGGATTTTTTGGGATTTTTAAAGGATTTTTAAAGGAATTTTTGGGGTTTTTGGGGATTTTTGAGGGAGTTTTGGGGATTTTTTGGGATTTTTAAAGGGATTTTTTGGGGGTTTTTTTTGGGATTTTTAAAGGAATTTTTTGGGGTTTTTTTGGGGATTTTTAAGGGATTTTTTAGGGGGATTTTGGAGATTTTTAAGGGATTTTTAGGGGATTTTTGGGGGAATTTTTTTGGAGATTTCTTGGGGGATTTTTTTGGATTTTTTTTTGATTTTAAAGGAATTTTTGGGGTTTTTGGGGATTTTTAGGGATTTTTTTAGGGATTTTGGGGATGTTTTGGGGATTTTGTGGGGATTTTTTGGGGATTTTGAGGATTTTTAAGGGATTTTTGGGGGATTTTTAAGGGATTTTTTGGGGTGTTTTTGGGGTGATTTTGGGGTGATTTTGGGGCGATTTGGGGTCACTTTTGCAGGTACAATGGTGCCCCATTTTTGGGGTGTTTTTGGGGTGATTTTGGGGTGTTTTTGGGTCATTTTGGGTCGTTTTGCAGGTTCAACGGTGCCCCATTTTTGGGGTGATTTTGGGGTGTTTTTGGGGTGATTTTGGGCCATTTTGGGTCACTTTTGCAGGTTCAATGGTGCCCCGTTTTTGTGGTGTTTCTGGGGTGATTTTGGGGTGTTTTAGGGGTGTTTTTGGGGTGATTTTGGGTCATTTTGTGTCACTTTTGCAGGTTCAACGGTGCCCCATTTTTGGGGTGTTTTTGGGGTGTTTTTGGGGTGATTTTGGGCGATTTTGGGTCGTTTTTGCAGGTTCAACGGCGCCCCATTTTTGGGGTGATTTTGGGGTGATTTTGGGTGATTTTGGGTCGCTTTCACAGGTTCAACGGCGCCCCATTTTTGGGGTGTTTTTGGGGTGTTTTTGGGTCGTTTCTGCAGGTTCAACGGTGCCCCATTTTTGGGGTGTTTTTGGGGTGTTTTTGGCGTGATTTTGGGGTGTTTTTGGGGTGATTTTGGGTTGTTTTGGGTCATTTCTGCAGGTTCAACGGTGCCCCGTTTTTGGGGTGATTTTGGGGTGATTTTGGGGTGTTTTTGGGGTGATTTTGGGCCATTTTGGGTCACTTTTCCAGGTTCAATGGCGCCCCATTTTTGGAGTGTTTTTGGGGTGATTTTGGGTTGTTTTGGGGGTTTTTTTGGGGTGTTTTTGGGTTTTCAGCAGTGCCCCATTTTGGGGGGTTCTTTGGCCGGTTCTGCTCATTTTTTGGGGTGTTTTTGGGGTGATTTTGGGGTGATTTTGGGCCGTTTTGGGTCATTTCTGCAGGTTCAACGGCGCCCCGTTTTTGGGGTGTTTTTGGGGTGTTTTTGGGGTGATTTTGGGCTATTTTGGGTCGTTTTTGCAGGTTCAACGGCGCCCCATTTTTGGGGTGATTTTGGGGTGATTTTGGGGTGTTTTTGGGGTGTTTTTGGGGTTTTTTTGGGGTGTTTTTGGGTTTTCAGCAGTGCCCCATATTGGGGGGTTCTTTGGACGGTTCTGCTCATTTTTTGGGGTGATTTTGGGCGATTTTGGGTCACTTTTCCAGGTTCAACGGCGCCCCGTACCGCAGCACGTGCCTCCTGCAGCCGACCAGCAGCGCCCTCGTCAACTGCACCGAGTGGGTACGTCCCCCACCCCCGCCCAGGTGCGCACAGGTGTGCCCAGGTGTGCCCAGGTGTGCCCCAGGTGTGCCCAGGTGTGCCCAGGTGTGCCCAGGTGTGCCCAGGTGTGTCCCCAGGTGTGCCCAGGTGTGCCCAGGTGTGTCCCCAGGTGTGCCCAGGTGTGCCCAGGTGTGCCCAGGTACCCCGTGGTGTGCTCAGGTGCACCCAGATTGTGTCCAGGTGTGTCCCAGGTGTATCCAGGTGTATCCCAGGTGTATCCAGGTGTATCCCAGGTGTATCCCAGGTATCTCAGGTGTGCCCAGGTGACCCATTTTCCCCTGTTTTAGCCCCCCTTTGTGGTGACCCTGGACGAGGTGGAGCTGATCCACTTCGAGCGGGTGCATCCAGGTGTGCTCAGGTGTAGTTCAGGTGTATCCCAGGTATCTCAGGTGTGCTCAGGTGTATCCAGGTGTATCCCAGGTGTATCCAGGTGTATCCCAGGTGTATCCAGGTGTGCTCAGGTGTATCCCAGGTGTATCCAGGTGTATCCCAGGTGTATCCCAGGTAACTCAGGTGTGCCCAGGTGTATCCAGGTGTGCTCAGGTGTAACTCAGGTGTGCTCAGGTGTGCTCAGGTGACCCATTTTCCCCCGTTTCAGCCCCCATTCGTGGTGACCCTGGACGAGGTGGAGCTGATCCACTTCGAGCGGGTGCAGCCAGGTGTGCTCAGGTGTAGTTCAGGTGTATCCAGGTGTATCCAGGTGTATCCCAGGTAACTCAGGTGTGCCCAGGTAACTCAGGTGACCCATTTTCTCCCAGCCCCCCTTCGTGGTGACCCTGGACGAGGTGGAGCTGATCCACTTCGAGCGGGTGCATCCAGGGGTGCTCAGGTGTAGTTCAGGTGTATCCCAGGTGTATCCCAGGTAACTCAGGTGTATCCCAGGTGTATCCCAGGTGTATCCCAGGTAACTCAGGTGACCCATTTTTCCACCTGTAGCCCCCATTCGTGGTGACCCTGGACGAGGTGGAGCTGATCCACTTCGAGCGGGTGCAGCCAGGTGTGCTCAGGTGTAGTTCAGGTGTATCCAGGTGTATCCAGGTGTATCCAGGTGTGCTCAGGTGTGCTCAGGTGTGCCCAGGTGACCCATTTTTTGTCCCCCCAGCCCCCGTTCGTGGTGACCCTGGACGAGGTGGAGCTGATCCGCTTCGAGCGGGTGCATCCAGGTGTGCTCAGGTGTATCCAGGTGTATCCAGGTGTGCTCAGGTGTATCCCAGGTGTATCCCAGGTAACTCAGGTGTGCTCAGGTGTGCTCAGGTGTGCTCAGGTGACCCATTTTCCCCCATTTTAGCCCCCCTTTGTGGTGACCCTGGACGAGGTGGAGCTGATCCACTTCGAGCGGGTGCATCCAGGTGTGCTCAGGTGTGCTCAGGTGACCCATTTTTTCCCCCCAAAGCCCCCGTTTGTGGTGACCCTGGACGAGGTGGAGCTGATCCACTTCGAGCGGGTGCATCCAGGTGTGCTCAGGTGTAACTCAGGTGTATCCCAGGTAACTCAGGTGTATCCCAGGTAACTCAGGTGTATCCAGGTGTATCCAGGTGTATCCCAGGTATCTCAGGTGTATCCCAGGTATCTCAGGTGTATCCCAGGTGTATCCAGGTGTATCCCAGGTAACTCAGGTGTGCCCAGGTAACTCAGGTGACCCATTTTTCCCCTGTTTTAGCCCCCCTTCGTGGTGACCCTGGACGAGGTGGAGCTGATCCACTTCGAGCGGGTGCATCCAGGTGTGCTCAGGTGTAGTTCAGGTGTATCCAGGTGTGCTCAGATCTATCCCAGGTGTATCCAGGTGTATCCCAGGTAACTCAGGTGACCCATTTTCCCCCGTTTTAGCCCCCATTTGTGGTGACCCTGGACGAGGTGGAGCTGATCCACTTCGAGCGGGTGCAGTTCCACCTGAAGAACTTCGACCTGGTGATCGTCTACAAGGACTACGCGCGCAAGGTGACGATGATCAACGCCATCCCCGTCGCCTCCCTCGACCCCATCAAGGAGTGGCTCAAGTGAGAGGACTTTTTAGGGACATTTAAAGGGGTTTTGGGGCGGTTTTGGGGACTTTTCAGGCATTTTTGGGGCATTTTCGGGGACGCTTTGGGGACATTTTTTGGGGTGTTTTTGGGGCGTTTTTGAGGGATTTTTTTTGGGGGGGGTTTGTTGATGGGGTTTTTTAGGGGTGTTTGTGGGGTGTTTTGGGGGGGTTTTTTTTGGGTGTTTGTGGGGGTTTTTTGGGGTGTTTATGGGGTTTCTGGGGGTGTTTAGGGGGTGTTAATGGGGTTTTTGGGGGTTTTTCGGTTAGGGGTGTTTATGGGGGTTTTGGGGTGTTTTGGGGTTTTGGGGGGTTTTTGGGGTTTTTAGGGTGTTTGTGGGGTGTTTTTGGGGTGTTTGTGGGGGGTGTTTCTGGGGGTTTTAGGGGGGTGTTTATGGGGTTTTGGGGTGGTTTTTTGGGGTGTTTGGGGATTTTTGTGGGTTTTGGGGGTGTTTATTGGGGTTTTAGGGGTTGTTTTAGGGGGTTTATAGGGTTTTTAGGGTGGTTTAGGGGGTCTTTATGGGGTTTTTGGGGGTTTTTGAGGGGTGCTTGTGGGGTTTTTGGGGGGTTTTTTTGGGGGTGTTTGTGGGGCTTTTTGGGGGGTGTTTGTGGGGTTTTTGGGGTGTTTATGGGTATTTTTAGGGGTGTTTTGGGAGGTTTGGGGGTGTTTATGGGGATTTTGGGGGTGTTTTGGGGGTGTTTATGGGGATTTTGGGGGTTTTGGGAGTGTTTATGGGGGTTTTTGGGGGGTGTTTGTGGGGTTTTTTTGGGGGTGTTTGTGGGGTTTTTAGGGGTGTTTATGGGGTTTTGGGGGTGTTTCGGGGGTTTTGGGGTGTTTATGGAGATTTTTTAGGGGTGTTTTGGGGGGTTTGTAGATGGCTTTTTTTAGGGGTGTTTATGGGGTTTTTTTGGGGTTTTTTTTGGGGTGTTTGTGGGGGGTTTTTTGGGGTGTTTTATGGGGGGTTTTTTGGGGGTTATTTTGGGGTGTTTATGGGGGTTTTTTTGGAGTGTTTTGGGGGTTTTTTGGAATGTTTTTGGGGTTTTTTTTGGGGTGTTTATGGGGGTTTTTTTGGGGTGTTTGTGGGGGTTTTTGGGGGTTTTTTGGGGTGTTTTTGAGGCGTTTTTTTGGGGTTTTTTTGTGTTTCTCCCCCCTCACCTGTCCCCCATGCCCTCACCTGTCCCCCCCTGCCCCCCCTGCAGCTCCTGTGACCTGAAGTACACGGAGGGGGTGCAGTCCCTGAACTGGACCAAGATCATGAAAACCATCGTGGACGACCCCGAGGGCTTCTTCGAGCAGGGCGGGTGGTCCTTCCTGGAGCCCGAGGGGGAGGTAAAACTCACCTGGGGAACACCTGTCCTACCTGGGGAACACCTGGGGAACACCTGTCCTGCCTGGGGAACACCTGGGGAACACCTGGGGAACACCTGTCCTACCTGGGGAACACCTGGGGAACACCTGGGGAACACCTGGGGAACACCTGTCCCACCTGGGACTCACCTGGGGAACACCTGGGGAACACATGGGACTCACGTGGGGGACACCTGTCCTACCTGTAACACACCTGGGGAACACCTGTCCTACCTGGGGGACACCTGGGGAACACCTGGGACTCACCTGGGGAACACCTGTCCTGCCTGTCCCTCACCTGTCCTACCTGTAACTCACCTGGGGAACACCTGGGGAACACCTGGGACTCACCTGGGGAACACCTGGGGGACACCTGTCCTACCTGTAACACACCTGGGACTCACCTGGGACTCACCTGGGGCACACCTGTCCCACCTGTCCCTCACCCGACCCCGAGGGCTTCTTCGAGCAGGGCGGGTGGTCCTTCCTGGAGCCCGAGGGGGAGGTAAAACTCACCTGGGGAACACCTGGGGAACACCTGGGGAACACCTGTCCTGCCTGGGACTCACCTGGGGAACACCTGGGGAACACCTGTCCTGCCTGGGGAACACCTGTCCTACCTGTAACACACCTGGGGAACACCTGGGGAACACCTGGGGAACACCTGTCCTACCTGGGACTCACCTGGGGAACACCTGGGGAACACCTGGGGAACACCTGTCCTACCTGGGACTCACCTGGGGAACACCTGTCCTGCCTGTCCTATCTGTCCTACCTGCCACTCACCTGTCCTACCTGGGACTCACCTGTCCCTCCCTGTCCCTCACCTGTCTCACCTGTCCCTCACCTGGGACTCACCTGTCCCTCTCCTGTCCCTCCCCTGTCCCACCTGTCTCACCTGTCCCCTTTGTCCCTCACCTGTCTCTCACCTGTCCCACCTGTCCCCTTTGTCCCTCACCTGTCCTTCACCTGTCTCTCACCTGTCCCTCACCTGTCCCTCCCCTGTCCCTCACCTGTCCCTCACCTGTCCTTCACCTGTCCCTCACCTGTGACTCACCTGTCCCTCACCTGTGACTCACCTGTGACTCACCTGTCCCACCTGTTCCTCCCTGTCCCTCCCCTGTCCCTCCCCTGTCCCTCCCCTGTCCCACCTGTCCCACCTGTGACTCATCTGTCCCACCTGTCCCTCCCCTGTCCCCACCTGTCCCTCACCTGTCCCTCACCTGTCCCTCACCTGTGACTCACCTGTCCCTCCCCTGTCCCTCACCTGTCCCTCCCCTGTCCCTCACCTGTCCCTCCCCTGGGTCTCACCTGTCCCTCACCTGGGGCTCACCTGTCCCTCCTGTCTCTCACCTGTCCCTCACCTGTCCCCCCTGTCCCTCACCTGTCCCACCTGTCCCTCACCTGTCCCTCCTGTCCCCCCTGTCCCTCACCTGTCCCTCACCTGTCCCTCACCTGTCCCTCACCTGTCCCTCACCTGTAACTCACCTGTCCCTCCCCTGTCCCTCACCTGTGAGTCACCTGTCCCTCACCTGTCCTACCTGGGGCTCACCTTTCCTTCACCTGCCCTACCTGTCCTTCACCTGTCCCTCACCTGTCCTACCTGGGACTCACCTGTAACTCACCTGGGACTCACTTGTAACTCACCTGGGGCACACCTGTCCCTCACCTGTCCCTCACCTGTAACTCACCTGTCCTACCCGTGACTCACCTGGGACTCACCTATCCTGCCTGTCCCTCACCTGTAACTTACCTGTGTCCCTCCCCTGTCCCTCCCCTGTCCCTCCCCTGTCCCTCACCTGTGACTCACCTGTGACTCACCTGTGACTCACCTGGGTCTCACCTGTCGGTGCAGGGCTCAGAGGCGGATCCGGGGGAGTCGGAGTCCGAGGCTGGAGGGCGAGGCGTTCCAGCCCCTCGGAGGAGGGACGAGGAGGAGGAGGAGGACAGCGGCGAGGATTACTCCTCCGAGGCCGAGGAGTCGGTCCGGGCACCTGGGGGGGCACCTGGGAGGGGTGGGGCTCACCTGGGCTCACCTGGGCACACCTGGACTCACCTGGGGGGATTTGGGGGGGTGGGACTCACCTGGGCACACCTGGACTCACCTGGGGGATTTGTGTTCACCTGGGGGCACCTGGGCACACCTGGAGGGGATTTGGGGCTCACCTGGGCTCACCTGGGGGGGTTTGGGACTCACCTGGGCTCACCTGGACTCACCTGGGTTCACCTGGGACACCTGGGGGCACCTGGGGGGGATTTGGGGGCGTTTGGTGTTCACCTGGGGGGGTTTGGGGCTCACCTGGGCACACCTGGGGCTCACCTGGAGGGGATTTGTGTTCACCTGGGGGGGCACCTGGGGGGGTTTGGAGCTCACCTGGACTCACCTGGGCACACCTGGGTTCACCTGGACACACCTGGGGGCACCTGGGCTCACCTGGGAGGCGTTTGGGGGGCATTTGGGACTCACCTGGGGGCGTTTGGGGCTCACCTGGGGGGGATTTGGGGGCATTGGAGTTCACCTGGGGGGTTTGGGACTCACCTGGGCTCACCTGGGCGGCTCACCTGGGGGGGTTTGGGGAGGTTTGGGGTTCACCTGGGGGCACCTGGGGGATTTTGGGCTCACCTGGACACACCTGGGCACACCTGGACTCACCTGGACTCACCTGGGGCGTTTGGGCGCTCACCTGGGCACACCTGGGGGGTTGGGACTCACCTGGGGGACCTGGGGGTTTGGGACTCACCTGGGCTCACCTGCCCAGTCCTCCCCGCCTCACCTGTCCCACCTGTCCCTCACCTGTGTCCCCCCCTGTACCCCCTGTCCCTCACCTGTCCTTCACCTGTCCCTCCTGTCCCTCACCTAGCCCCCTCACCTGTAACCCACCTTGTCCCTCACCTGTGAGCACCTGTCCCCACCTGTCCTACCTGGGGCTCACCTTCTTCACCTGTCTCTACCTGTCCTTACCATCCCTCACCTGTCCTACCTGGGACTCACCTGTAACTCACCTGGCACTCACTTGTACTCACCCAGTACACCTGTCCCCACCTGTCCCTCACCTGTAACTCCATCCTGTCCCACCCGTGACTCACCTGACTCACCTGTCCTGCCTGTCCCTCCCCTGTCCCTCCCCTGTCCCTCCCCTGTCCCTCACCTGTCCCTCCCCTGTCCCTCACCTGTTCCACCTGTCCCTCACCTGTGACTCACCTGGGTCTCACCTGTCGGCGCAGGGCTCGGAGGCGGATCCGGGGGAGTCGGAGTCGGAGCTGGAGGACGAGACGTTCAACCCCTCGGAGGAGGACGAGGAGGAGGAGGAGGACAGCGACGAGGATTACTCCTCCGAGGCCGAGGAGTCCGGTCCGGGCACCTGGGGGGGCACCTGGGAGGGGTGGGACTCACCTGGGCTCACCTGGGCACACCTGACTCACCTGGGGGATTTGGGGGGACTCACCTGGGCACACCTGGACTCACCTGGGGGATTTAGGTTCACCTGGGCGCACCCTAGGCACACCTGAGGGGATCTGGGGCTCACCTGGGCTCACCTGGGGGTTTGGGACTCACCTGGGCTCACCCGACTCACCTGGGTTCACCTCGGCACACCTGGGAGCACCTGGGGGATTTAGCTTATGTTCACCTGGGGGGCTTGGGGCCCACCCGGGCACACCTGGGGCCCACCTGAGGGGATTTGTGTTCACCCGGGGGCACCTGGGGGCTTGGAGCCCTCACCTGGACTCACCTGGGCACACCTGGGTCACCTGACACACCCCGGGCACCCGGCCCACCTGGGAGCCGGTTGGGGGCATTTGGGACCCACCTGGGGCGCTGGCTCACCTGGGGGGATTTGGGGCACGGAGCTCACCTGGGGGTTTGGGACTCACCTGGCTCACCTGGGCTCACCTGGGGGTTTGGGGAGGTTTGGGGTTCACCTGGGCACCTGGGGGATTTTGGGCTCACCTGACACACCTGGGCACACCTGACTCACCCGTTGGACTCACCTGGGGCGCGCGCCACCTGCACACACCTGGGGGCTTGGGACTCACCTGGGGGACCTGGGGTTTGGGATCCACCTGGGCTCACCTGGGCTCACCTGGGGCTTTGGGACTCACCTGGGGCTCACCTGGGCTCACCTGGGGGCGTTTGGGACTCACCTGGGCTCACCTGGGGGGGTTTGGGACTCACCTGGGCTCACCTGGGCTCACCTGGGGGGGTTTGGGACTCACCTGGGCTCACCTGGGCTCACCTGGGGGTTTGGACTCACCTGGGCTCACCTGGGGGCTTTGGGACTCACCTGGGCTCACCCTGGGCTCACACCTGGGGGTTTGGGACCATGCTCACCTGGGGGTTTGGGAGGTTTGGGGCCTGGGGGCTTTGGGCTCACCTGGGGGCCACACCTGGTGTCCCCTGGTCTCACCTGTCCTTTCCTCTCTCCCACCCTCCCCCAACCTTCCAGAATATTCCAAGGACTCCCTGGGCAGCGAGGAGGAGAGCGGCAAGGACTGGGACGAGCTGGAGGAGGAGGCCCGGAAAGGTGGGGATGGGACCCCCAAAACCACCCCAAAACACCCCAAAACCACCCCAAAATACCCCAAAACCAGCCCAAAATACCCCAAAATCACCCCAAAACAACCCAAAATACCCCAAAACCACCCCAAAATACCCCAAAACACTCCAAAATACCCCCAGAACCACCCAAAAATACCCCCAAAACAACCCAAAATACCCCCAAAACCACCCCAAAATACCCCAAAACACTCCAAAATACCCCCAGAACCACCCAAAAATACCCCCAAAACAACCCAAAATACCCCCAAAACCAACCCAAAATACTCCTAAAACAGCCCAAAATACCCCTAAATCACCCCTAAACCACCCCAAAATACCCCAAAACCACCCCAAAATCACCCCAAAATACCCCAAAATCACCCCTAAACCACCCCAAAATACCCCAAAATACCCTAAAACCAATCCCCCCAAAATACCCAAAAAAAACCCCCCGAAAAACACCCCCCCATTACCTAAAACACCCCAAAATCACCCCAAAACACCCTAAAAGACACCCCAAAAAAACCCCAAAATCACCCAAAAACACACCAAAAACCACTCCAAATCTCCCCCCCAAAATCCCCCCAAAAACCCCCCCAAAAAAGCCCCAAAATTCCAAACCAACCCCCCAGAAAAACCCCCAAAAAATCCCCAAAAAATCCCAAATAAATCCCAAATAAATCCCCCAGACCCCAAAATCCCCCCTGAACCCCCCAAAAAACCCCCCAAAAAATGCCCCAAAATTCCATACCCCAAAAATCCCAAATAAATCCAAAACCCCAAATAAACTCCCCAGTAATTCCCCAAGTTCCCCAAACCCCAGACCCCAAAATCCCTGAAACCCCCCAAAAACCCCAAAAATCCCAACAAATCCCCAAAAATCCCAAATAAATCCAAAAATCCCAAATAAACCCCAACAAATCCCCAAAAACTCCCAAATAAATCCAAAAAATCCCAAATAAACCCCAACAAATCCCAAATAAACCCCCGACCCTCCCCCAAACCCCAGACCCCCAAATCCCCCGAAACCCCCCAAAAAAACCCCAAATTTGACTTTTTTCCCCAAAAATCCCAAATAAATCCCAAATAAATCCCCCAAACCCCAGAATCCCCAATACCCCAAAACCCCCAAAAATGCCCCAAAATTCCAAACAAACCCCCAAAAAACCCCAAATAATTCTCAAATAAATCCCAAATAAACTCCAAAAAAACCCCAAGTAAACCCCAAATAAATACCAAATAAATCCCAAATAAATCCCAAAAAAATCCAAAATAAACCCCCGAAAACCCCTCAAAAAACCCCAAATAAATCCCAAAAAAACCCCAAATAAATCCCAAATAAATCCCAAATAAATCCCAAAAAAATCCAAAATAAATCCCAAATAAATCCCAAAAAAATCCCAAAAAAATCCTAAATAAATCTCAAATAAACCCCAAATAAATCCCAAATAAATCCCAAAAAAATCCAAAATAAACCCCAAATAAATCCCAAATAAACCCCAAATAAATCCCAAATAAATCCCAAAAAAATCCCAAATAAACCCCAAATAAATCCCAAATAAATCCCAAAAATCCCCAAAATCCCAACAATCTCCCGACCTCCCCCAACCCCCAGACCCCAAAACCCCCGAAACCCCCCAAAACCCAAATTTTCCTTTTTTTCCCCCCAGCCGTGACCGGGAGAGCCAGTACGAGGAGGAGGAGGAGCGGGGAGGGGCCGCATAGAGAAGGGACCCCCGGGAGGGCCTCCGCCACGGCCCCCCAAAAGAAGAGGAAGTAAAGAATTTTGGGGGTCCCCTTTTCCCCCATCCCACCCCCCAAAAAAGATTTGGGGTCAAAACCCCAGGTTTGGGGAATTTTTCAACCCCCTTTTTGTCTCCCCGGGGTTGGGAGGTTGAGTTTTTTTGGGGGGTCCTTGATGAGTTTTGGGGGTCCCCGAAATTTGGGGGTCCTCATGAAGTTTTGGGGTCCCCCAAAATTTTGAGGGGTCCCTGTTGAGTTTTGGGGGTCCAACAAAATTTGGGGGGGTCCCCATGAAATTTGGGGGGGTCCCCATTGAGTTTTTGGGGGGGTCCCCATTGAGTTTTGGGGTCCCCTGAAATTTGGGGGGGTCCCCATGAAGTTTGGGAGGGTCCCCATTGAGTTTTGGGGGGTCCCCCGAAATTTGGGGGGGTCCTCATGACATTTGGGGGGGTCCCTGTTGAGTTTTGGGGGTCCCCAAAAATTTTGAGGGGTCCCCATGAAGTTTGGGGAGGGGTCCCTGTTGAGTTTTGGGGGTCCCCCGAAATTTGGGGGGGTCCCTGTGAAGTTTGGGGGGTCCCCCTGAAATTTGGGGGGGTCCCCATGAAGTTTGGGGGGGTCCCCGTGAGTTTTTAGGGGGGTCCCCCAAAATTTTGAGGGGTCCCCATGAAGTCTGGGGGGGTCCCACAAAATTTGGGGGGGTCCCTGTGAAGTTTGGGGGGGTACCTTTGAGTTTTGGGGTTCCCCCTAAATTTTGAGGGGTCCCTGTGAAATTTGGGGGGGGTCCTTGTTGAGTTTTGGGGGTCCTCTGAAATTTGGGGGGGTCCCCATGAAATTTGGGGGGGTCCCCGTGAGTTTTTTGGGGAGGGTCCCTGTTGAGTTTTGGGGGTCCCCCAAAATTTGGGGGGATCCTCATGAAGTTTTTGGGGGTCCCCCAAAATTTGGGGGGGGTCCCTGTGAGTTTTTTGGGGGGGGGTCCCTGTTGAGTTTTGGGGTCCCCTTAAATTTGGGGGGGTCCCGTTGAGTTTTGGGGGTCCCCTGAAATTTGGGGGGGTCCCTGTTGAGTTTTGGGGGGGTTCCCTGAAATTTGAGGGGTCCTCTGAAATTTGGGGGGGTCCCCATTGAGTTTTGGGGGTCCCCCAAAATTTTGAGGGGGTCCCCATTAAGTTTTTTGGGGTCCCCATGAAATTTGGGGGGGTCCCCATGAAATTTGGGGGGGTCCCCGTTGAGTTTTGGGAGTCCCCCAAAGTTTGGGGGGGTCCCCATGAAATTTGGGGGGGTCCTCGTGAAATTTAGGGGGGTCCCCGTTGAGTTTTGGGGGTTTTTCTCCCAGATTTTGTTGTTTTTTGGGTTTTTTTAATTTTTTTTCCCGCCGTTTCTCCCTGGAATTTTTTTTTTGGGGGGGGTTTTGGTTTTTTTTTGGGGGGGGTTCCCACATGGGGGAGTTTTTTTTTGGGGGGGGGGGATCCTGTGGGGGAAATTTCCCCATGAGATTTTTTCGTGAGTTTCCTCCCTGAATTTTGGGGCTTTTCTGAAATTTTTGGACATTTTTCTCCCCTTTCCCCTCGTTTTTTTGTTGGTTTTTTGTCGCTGTTTCTCCCCCAAAATTTGGGGGTTTGGGGTCCTGGGTCGAGATTTTTTTAGGGGGTTTTCCCCTCCCAGATTTTGGGGTTTTCCTGATGAATTTTGGGGTCTTTTTTATCATTTTTTTTTACGATTTCCCCTCAATTTTTTGTTGATTTTTCTTTGAAATGTCTTTTTTTTTTTTTTTTTCATTCAAATGTTGGGCTTTCTCTTCAGAATTTGGGGTTTTTTGTCAGAATTTGGGGGGGTTTTTTCTGTCAGAATTCGGGGTTTTTTCCCCCATAATTGGGTTGGTTTTCCCTCAGAATTTTGGGGTTTTTTTGCCAGAATTTGGGGATTTTTTTCTGTCAAAATTCGGGGTTTTTTCCCCCAGAGTTGGGTTGTTTTTCCCCTCAGAATTTTGGGGATTTTTGTCAGAATTTGGGGGAGTTTTCTCCTCGTAATTTGGGATTTTTTACTCCTCAGAATTTTGGGGGATTTTTTTTCCCTCAGATATTGAGTTCTCATTTCTGACAGCATTTGGTGTTTTCCCCTCAGAATTTGGGGGTTTTTTGCCAGAATTTGGGGATTTTTGTCAGAATTTGGAGGGTTTTGTCAGAATTTGGGGATTTTTGCCAGAATCTGAGGGGGTTTTCCCTCAGAATTTCGGGTTTTTCCCCTCAGAATTTTGGGTTTTCCCTCAGAATTTTGGGTTTTCCCTCAGAATTTTGGGTTTTCCCTCAGAATTTCGAGTTTTTCCCTCAGAATTTTGGGGTTTTCCCTCACAATTTTGGGTTTTCCCTCAGAATTTGGGGGGGTTTCCCTCAGAATTTCGGGGTTTCCCTCAGAAATTCAGGGTTTTCCCTCAGAATTTTGGGTTTTTCCCTCAGAATTTCAGGTTTTCCCTCAGAATTTCGGGTTTTCCCTCAGAATTTGGGGGGGTTTTCCCTCAGAATTTCGGGTTTTCCCTCAGAACTTGGGGGGGTTTTCCCTCAGAATTTCAGATTTTCCCTCAGAATTTCGAGTTTCAGGCCCCCCCCCCAAAAAAAAATCACCTTTTGGGTCAGGGGGACCCCAAATTTCCCCCCCCACTTTGAAGACCCCAAAACCCCCTTGAATGACCCTAAACCCCCGGGACCCCAAAATTTCCCCCCCCTCTCAACTCCCCCTTTTTTTTTTTAATCCCTATTTATGGGTGGGTTTGGGGGGTCCCCCCCCCGATTTTGGGGTGGTTCCCCCTGTTTTTGGGGGTCCCCTCTGTGGTTTTTTTTTGGTTTTTTGGGGTGGGGGGGACCCCCCTTTCCCCCTCCCCCCCATCCCTTCACCCCCTTCTGCAGCTCTTTTCCAAAAAAAGTTCAATAAAAACGTGGTTTTTTTAAGGTTTTTTAACTAAAACGAGACTTTCTGAGCGCCTTCCCCCCCCCAAAAAAAGACAGAAATGGGGCCAAACTGGTCAAAAAAAAACAGGGGGGGAGGGGGGAGGGGATTTGAGGGGATTGAAACCACTAAAAAAAAAAACAAAAAATGGGGTGAAATGGTTTAAAAAGGGGGTTGAACTGGTTTAAAAAGTGGGGTTGAACTGGTTTGAAATGGGGCTGAAAAAAACAGCTCAAAACCAGTTAAAAACCAGTTTAAAAGGGTTAAAACCAGTTCAAATTGGGGTTAAACCAGTTCAGAGGGACAAAACCGGTTTAAAAGAGTTAAAACCAGTTCAAAGGGACAAAACCGGTTTAAAAGGGTTAAAACCAGTTTGAGCTGGGGTTAAACCAGTTCAGGGGGACAAAACCGGTATAAAAGGCTTAAAACCAGTTCGAATTGGGGTTAAACCAGTTTAAAAGGGTTAAAACCAGTTCAAAGGGACAAAACTGGTTTAAAAGGGTTAAAACCAGTTCAAATTGGGGTTAAACCAGTTTAAAAGGGTTAAAACCAGTTCGAAATGGGGTTAAACCAGTTTAAAAGGGTTAAAACCAGTTCGAAATGGGGCTAAACCAGTTTAAAAGGGTTAAAACCAGTTTGAATTGGGGCTAAACCAGTTCAGAGGGACAAAACCAGTTCGAATTGGGGCCAAACCGGTTTAAAAGGGTTAAAACCAGTTTGAACTGGGGCTAAGCCCGTTCAGGGGGACCAAGCCGGTTTAAAGGGGTTAAACCCGCTATAATCGGGCAGAGCTGCTCCAAACGCGCCCAAATCCAGTCCCAAAAAGGGCCCAAATTGCCCCAAAAGGCCCCAAACCCAGCGGGAATTGGGGGGGGCGGTCCCCCCCACCCGCGCGCCGTGACTGACAGCGCCGCCATCCAATCGGCGCCCTCCTCCGTCTGGGCTCCGACCAATCA